TATATATATATACATATTATCTTGTAAATATAGCCAAGTTATACTTTTAAATACAGAGTTCTTTTTCACTTTTTATGTAAAGACATTAGTGGTTTCAAAACAATAAATGAACAAAATTAATAGTGCTTTTCTGGCATTTGCCCATTGACAAAGATCAAAGTTAAGAACATCAAATTAGTATCAAAATTTCATAATCAAATTTCACTGATAGTAAATATGAGAAACTTTTTACTAAAGCTACCTTAAAAAGTATCATATTAGCAAAACTGCATCAGGACTCCAATCACAATGCATCACGTGTATGGTTCGACAATGTCATACATTTAACTATTTAGTTTTTTGTATTCATTGGGATTAGACCGTACAAATGGGGCATTGTGATTGAAGTTTGGATACAGTTTTACATTAGAACTCCTGATATAATATTTTTTCTTGGAAAAAATCTAATGCACAAAAAAAATTTTCCCAAAAATAAAATTCCCCCTAAATAAACTTTCAATGTAATGCCCAATTTTAAAGAGAGGAGATTTCTTATTTTTTGTCCATCTTAGTTCCTCTGTTATATCTACTTTTTTTTTTTTGCTCTTTTTTGTCTGAATTTATAATGCGGGTTGGGCAGCCGAACAATTCTAATAAAAAAAACCCCGAAAAATGCCACACCTGGTAGCCTAAGCATTTTTTAATGTCTTTGGAGTGAGTTAGGTGTGACATTATGGATTTAACAAAAAGGTCCAATATAGCCGTATCATCCAAATCCTTATTATTAACTATAAGGATTTTTTAAATTTTATTTTTAAAATCTCTTTCAATTTTATATTTAGGAGAATTTACACACAAACCAGCCAATTCTTACTTATTTATGAAAAATTATTCCACATATACACCGCATGCAGGGATCATGCAGTGTCCGATCTCCACCGTTGGTCACCGCAACGATGCATTTTCGATTGGTCACCGCAAAGATGTAATTTCTTCTTATTTACACACCTAAACTTTATTTTTTACATTCATCTATCCCAATCATTCATATTTTATAGAAAATAAAACAATTTTAATCTTTTAAAAATTAAATATATTTTTTCATGCATAAATCAGGCGACAATTATGTAAATCTTTAAAAATTAGTTTTTTTTGTTACTTTTTTTTTGTCAAATTCTTAATGTGCCTAGAAACATGAAATAAGATTTAAAAGTTATAGATGCACTTCCCCATAAGACAATATACAACCCGTTCAAGTAAAAAAAGTTCAGTTAGGCTAAAATTATAATGCTTTACAATTATCTAAATGAGTTTGACACTTAAAAGTGCCAAAACAGTGCTCAACTATTTATATGGGACTATTTTAATTTTAGAGATAATTTCTGATTATTTTAAAATTAAGTTGTTAGTGTTTTATAGAAACAATTTCAACCCTAATTTAAACAATCCAGAAATTATTTTGATGCTTAAATTTGATCAAAACAACCAAAAAAAAATTATATCTGCACCCAATCTTCATCCGAATATAATATTTTTTTTCCTGCTGAATTGAGATAAACGACAAAATATTTTCTGTAAAAAGGGCATGCGCAGAGGGAGGAAACAGAGAGGGTAATTAAATCCATAAAAACCATTTGATTAGCTGAAGCGGGACTTACCACATCGGCCATACCATTTGCAGCAATGCGCACGACTTCATCCGTGGACGGCGAAGCGCAGCCGACGGCGGTATCCTGTTCTCCACTACCAAGCGAAACGAGGATGAGATCATCAACACCAGCAGCAAAAGGGAATTCCTGCTTATTGTGAAGCACATGCGTGATGGCCGCCGCTGCAGGGTTTGGCATTGCTAACCCACCTCCCACAGCAGCAATACGAGCTCGGCTATCGACTGACTTCATCTCTGAAGCCACCCTGCCGGCGCACGTCGCCGCACATACTTCCTTTATCAGAAAATCGTAGGTATCAGCCTCCACTGCATCAGCCCTGGAGAAGAGGAACGGCGCGCCAGTAGTAAGGTCGTAGCAGGGGATCAGCACAGGCTTCATCGTATCTCTCAGCGTCAACTTCCCGAATACCTTTCTAAAATTAGAGCTCCCAGATCGCCGAAACATCCGGCGAAAAAACCCCTTCCGCTCGCCAGCAGAATCGCATAGCGCGCCAGTTTTCAACAAGAAGCAGAGAGCATCATCGGCAGATATTGGTCGACCATCAGGGCCGCGAGTGAAGAGCAAGGCCGCGAGGACGCCTCCAGTGCCGGACCCTGCAGCGATGTCGAAGAAATCAGCGATTCGGCCGGCGGGATCACCAGATAGGCGTTGGAGGGAGGATTCAAGGTGGGCGAGGGAGGCAGCTGCGAGAAGGCAGTCATTAGAGGCATCGATGGATAGGATGCAGACCTTGCCGGGCGAGGAAGCCCTCTCGCCAGAAGGTTTCTTCGAGGGAATCTCCGGCGAGGATTCGGGGAGGAAAAGCTTGGGCTCGTGATAGCCGAATAGGAACTTAGTTTCGAGGATGGTGAAGATCTCGTAGCTGAGCTTGTCGGCTTCGCTGCTGGGTTCCATGAGCGACGGCGAAGCTGCCATTGGGAGGGAAGGGGGGCTGGAGGAGCACGGAAAAACTGGATGGCGGTTAAAAAGGGGGAGGGAGGGATGATCCGCGTAGGATAGCAAGGACTCGGTGCGCACATTAGTCGCCGCTCGTGTTTCTAAATTGTCAAAAATAGTACTATATGTTGATGGGAAATGGACGGTGAAGATGGGGGGAAAGGGGGATGGTTTCGTCGGTGGGGTGGGGCCGATTTTGCATCGTACGATTTGGATCGGAGCGGAGGCGAGGGATTTGGGAAAGGGAAGGCACACGTGTGGAGGGAAGTCACCGACGTTGAGATCGGACGGCTGAGAATAGTTGATCGGGAATCAAATGGATGTCGGGGAAGAAGGGACAGAGCCGGATTCGGCACCGGGTAGACCGGGTCCGGCCGAATCGGTTCACTACAGAGCGATCTGGAGGCTTACCAATGAAGCGCTAAACTCCAAAAATCCTCTTGAATTTTTTTTTCTCTTTTATTTTATTTATTTTTTTATTTATTTTCGCTTTGAAGACAGCTCTGAGGCTTTTAAAGGTACGGAGCCTAGAAGTTTTGTGTTCCTTTTACTTTCGAAAAAAATATTACAGGACTGTGAGAATATTTTATCTGTGTTATTTATAAAAATGATATATTATTCGAGTATTATATAGTGTTATTTGATTATTTTGTAGTATTATTAAAATATTCTCCTGTGTTACTTGATTTGTGGTTGTGTTATTCGGCATATTCTCCGTATTATTTCAATTTCCAACATGTTATTGAAATAACCCAGACCCAAATCAAGTAATGCGGGAAAATATTTCAATAACACTTCAGGCCCAAATCAAGTAATGCGGAGAAATATTTCAATAACACTTCAGGCCCAAATCAAGTAACATATTCCAATAACACCGCATAATAATCGAATAACAACATATAATATTCGAATAACACATTATTTTTACAAATAATGCAGATGAAATATTCTCATAACACACTGGGATATTCCAACCTGAACGCAGCTCTATGTTAGGAATCCTGATATAATATTTTTCCTACTATTCCAGGGCATATTTGATCCATTATAGTTATAAAATATGTAATAAAATGATAACAATGCTACAAAAGTAAATCAATGACTTAATTTGGGAACCTAAACTTATTTTGTTCTACCTTAAAATAATATATTTTGAGGTATAGTACATGCTTTATGCATGGGATTTAAAACTATTTAGCAGCCAAGCATAAGTTGAAGATGAAGCAAATTGGGCATGACATGCATATTGATTTATAAAGACTACTTAGGTGGTGGTTATGTTGAGTTTAATGATGTGCACTATGAGCAAGCATAATTTCTATATATGATTGCACATTTTGTATGAATTGCTAGTATTTATTTCAAAAAAAAAAAATAATAATAATAATAATAATAATTTAACCTTTCACAGATTTCTATCTTTTTTATGTTTAAGATAAATGAGGCGGTTTGAAGTCTTTCATAGATTTCTCTCTTTTTTTTATGTTTAAGATAAATGAGGCGGTTTGAAGTATTTTTTTTTTATTTTTTTAAGATGTCATATCATTTTTAAAATCATTATAACTAAATTATATGTTCTTTTTTTAAAATTCTAATTGTTTTTTTTTCTTAATATTTTTAAAATTTTAAGCAAATTAGAAAATATTTTATCCAATTTTTCATATGAAAATTTATTACCATATATAGAATCAAAATCATCCTCTTTAGTCATCCTCTTCACTCACATGCAATATATTTTCCACTTTATGAGAATTACTTGAGGGAAAAGAAATGTTATCACTATTTAGTGGACCATAAAGCCTTCTCATTTACCTTTTTCTTATTTATGCCACTTAGACTTAATATTGCAAAAGAAAAAAAAAAAAAAGAGAAAAGCAACTTAGATTTTTTATGTGAAATTTTATTATGGACATGGAAGTTAGACTTCGCACTTGAGAATGCAGTAAAAACTCTTAAATCTTATGAAATGACTTCTTCTAAGAATATACTTTCAGGTGTGCAGTCAGTGACATATTGAGTTTGTGGCGACGAGTCTATTTAGTGTTATGATTGACTTTCCATTAGAAAAATAAATTGCGAAAGAAATAAACTCGTGCAAAGTTTGGTGTAGCTATGGTGACAGACAATCATTAGATTCAAAAATTAAATTTTCTACAAGTTGGATCTTTTGATGTTTTAATAATGTTAGTTCCGTCGAATATCATTATTAGTCGAACATTGATTCCTAATCTGTTAGGATGACTCCCTTTGATATTGTATGTCACTGTAACTACACTAGCCTTCGCACAATTATATTTCTATTATGTTTTGTCTCTGAAGGAAGAGTCAATCATAAATATAAGCATCCTCGTCCCCGTAGCATTTAACTAAACTCTTAAAACATCTTGTGAAAGTGATCTAGTAAGAGTTGTTGAGACGAGAATAATTAGGTGGATAAGCGACTTTACACTTGCAGGAAAAATGTGAAAAAATTATACTCATGAAAGAGTTGAAGTAGCTACAGTGACAACAAGTGACAACCAAGATTAGAGGAAAATATGGATAAATATTTATTAACAATCAGTCTTTGACAGCCCCCTCACAGCCTCAGCAGGTTGTTAACGTTCTGGCTTTTTAGTTATCTAAAATGTGCATTCCTTTTAAAATGTGTTGATTATTGTTTAGGGCTTAGTGTTCTTCGAACTACCAGAAGAAGTGAGAGCAGGCAAAGCAGAACCAACAGTCGGACTGTTAAGACAAGGTGCCCTCCAAGCACATTGATGGGGCGCTCCCACATACGAAATACAGCGGAGGCTGGTAAAGTTTCATTTGTTTTATAAGGTTTTCTATAGTTCGAATATGTATCTAACAATTTCACTTTATGAATAGGCTGTGGAGATTGGATGAGAGCTCTTTGTCGCAGCCGTACATGAGCGCACCCACAGGAGTTGAACCGACCAGTCCTGGATCGATGGCAAATCCAGTGTGACCCAGTTAATTGTTGTGCTAAACTTGTTCGATGTTAATACATGTGTCCCTAACTGAATGTAACTACTTGTGTATGCCTGAGAGATTCCAACAACTGGAGGAAAGCAAATCCCAAGCGTCAAGATGTATTACGATCCGCGAGCGTGATCTTTCCGAGTACGACCTATGGAGGAGACTGCTAGAGGTAAGATAAAAACTCGAGTCAATAGGTTGGGGTCGTAGGGCTTTCCCCCCCTCTCCCAGTGCATCTAGAGCTTATACCTCTATCGCACAAGATGAGAAGATCTCCAGATGTGTTGCGACATTCTTTGATGAGATAGAGGCCTGCTTCTCTCATATGAGGTCAGAGCTGGAGGCCAACATTGAGGACAAGCTGAAGGATGAGTTGGATTCCTTCCGGTAGCGGATAAGGGAGCGTGGCAATGCAATGGCAGCCTTGAAGGAGGTAGAAGGGCGGAGGACGATGAGGATGAGGTTGATATGATAAAGGAGGATGATTAGGAGAGACTTTTTTTCTTTTCTATTATGTTTATATATTGTTTGACAAATGAACAGTGATATACATATTTTAGAGTAAATGTGTTTTATTTATTTTATAATTTGATTGGATAATTTACTATTTGACAGCTATGTTATTTCGTTAAATATTTAGAATTGTATATAAAATATTGTAATAATACGTGTGCTAATGTAAATACAAAAGAAATAATATATTTTTTGCCTTATGTTACAGGTTTCCAATGGCTTTGAGACACTTTTAAACTTATCTGTAGGCAAAACTGATGGCTAACTGTGGACATTTCTACCAACTCCTAACCGACACGTAACTGAAGGTTCAAGGTGTGTCACACAAAATGACGAGCGCAACACTTTTCTGACAGTTAACCCGTCTGTTATGAAAAGAAACACATAGACGATATATAACCGATGGTTTTGCTTGCTTCAAAAAACTGATGGGTGTGACATTTTTTTGAGGGGCTTGTCGTCACTATTAATGACGGAAGAACTGTCAGTTATACCCGAAACGACACTCAAATTTTCTCAAAACAAACTACGCTATTAAATTGTCGGATAATCGTCGGTAAATTTCTATCGTTGGAATATCTTTCGGTTTTGGAATTGGCAACAAGTTTTTTATCTACAAGCTTAAAAACGCAATAACATTAAAAACTGCGATTTCTCTTATCATAAACGATGGATTGTGACCGTCGAAAAAAACTTAAATTCCTATAGTATTATTATCATATTCCTCATTAAAGAAATTATAAATCATTTGAACCAAATCAACATCCTTATATGTTTCACCCAACGAGTGCAATGAGATTAGAATCTTCATAAATTCATAGCATCAATAAAATCATCAGATTTTATGCAAAATAATTTTACATTCTTGATGTAGTCTATTAACATTTGCATTTCAAACTTTATTAGTTTCTTCATAAAGTATTAGCTTATCCTAAATATCCTTAGTAGGTCTAAAACATTGAAATTCTCATTTATGGTCCGTTTGCGACATCTTATTTGGTGCGGTCGCGTTTTGAAAACGCATCTGACCTGTTTAGGTAAACACGGTCGCGTTTTGAAAACGCACCTGGCCTGTTTGGGTAAACTGTGTTTTGGTAGCTTATGCGTTTTCAAAACGCTGAAAACAACGTTTTCACATCACACCTATCTAGGTGCGGTGACAACTTTCTGGCGGTGGCCTGACTTTTCTAAAAAAAATAAAAATTTGTAATACTCACCGCACATAGTTTATCAGCAGATTATTTTTAATCAGCTTATCAACAGATTATTCAACAAGCCGCAGCTGCCCCAAACAGACCCTTAATCATCAAATTTCAGAGCAGAATATGAATGGCTCCTGGCCTTAGATTTTAATTCTATAAACATTGTGCTTATAAATATTTCTTAACTTTGTGTGAAAAATAAAAGAAGATTTCAAAATTTTAACTATTTAATTTTAACAAAAATATAGTAAGGATAACTAATCAATTAAGGTCAAATTATTTAAATAAATTTCCTTTAATTAATGTATAAAAGGCTATAA